ATCGGGCTCCCTGCTCAGCAGGAAGCCTGCTTCTCCCTCTCGCCCTCCCCCTGCTTGTGTTCCCTCTCTCGCTGTCTCTCTCTGTAAAAAAAAAAAAAAAAAAAAAGTCCTGAGTTTTAGGAGAGTGTTCCATTTTACAGAAATGAGTCTTGAATTACTGAAAGGAAATTTTTTTCTTCCTAGCAGACCACAATGTCAATAACCCCACCCATGACCTGATAATTTATAAATATCGGGGGAGTTGTCAGGGTTGAGAGAATAGTAGTTTGTCCTTTGAATTAAATATGAAATTGTGTTTATATTTTTGAAGATCTAAATAAGGTACCAACGTATGTTTAAAATTTTTAGTCAGTTGTGGAGTAAATATTTATCAAAAGCTGTCTGACTGGTCACTGACTGCCCTGTCTCTGTAAACACAGCTTTAGACATATGAGAATCTGGCAGATTCGGTGTCAATACAAAAAGTAACACTTAAGCAAAACACAGAATAACCATAAATTGCTTCAATAAACCTAAGAATGTCACATCTTGAAGGTATTTCTTATGTTTTAAGGGTGAGCTTGTACCTAAGAAAGTGGACTACTGAACAGATCTTAGGTGTTTTGTGAGATTTTAATCATGCTTTTATTGTAGAAGTTGAATTTCAAAACCCAGTTTACCTTTCCTTTCCCCAAAATAGTTCAGGTCCAGCCATTACAGACAGAGTAGGACTAGCTCAGGAAATAGCCTTTCTGTGGATTCCCTAGTCCCCTGCTCCCCCCCCCCCCAGTTTAAGACCTGAACTTCCACATCAGGAGAATATTGGGTTTGTAAGCAAAGTCATGCTGCACCTGTAAGTGGAAGCGCCACCTGAGTATTTCATAAGGCCTGAGGACCCTGGTAGCGGGCAGAACCCTTTACATACACAACAACCTCGTCTTTTCTCCCATAGAATCAACTCTTGGGTAAGGAGCAGTTCAAACCCAGCTTTTAGGGGAGTAGGAGCAGTGAATCTTAAGGGCTACACAGTAACGTTAATTTAAAAAATCAGCATTGAGTTATATTCAACTTTGAGGGACTATCATTTATTCTTTTAAACTCATCTTGTTCTAGCGCATAAAGTCTGGCAGAGACAGCAGTGGGGGCTCCCGCAGCAGAAGAGAGGGGAGTGCCGGCAGTGGTGAGTAGTTCCCGTTTCCTCGAAATACTGGATTTGACAGATGGGCAGTACATGGGCTTCTAGGAACATCTTGAATAATCCAAAAAAAAAATGCCCCCTTGTTTGCTTGCTCTATACACAGTAAAACCTCACTTATTCTAATTAATTTTGTAAGCAGTCAGCTATGTAAATGACTATTAATGTTAGTGGATTTTACTTCTTAAATAACCATACCTGTTTCTGCTAAGTGATTATTAAATAAGTTCATGCTGGGGGCGCCTGGCTGGCTCAGTCATTAAGCGTCTGCCTTCGGCTCGGGTCGTGATCCCAGGGTCCTGGGATCAAGCCCCACGTCTGGCTCCCTGCTCTGCGGGAAGCCTGCTTCTCTCTCTCCCACTCCCCCTGCTTGTGTTCCCTCTTTCGCTGTGTCTTTCTGTCAGATAAATAAATAAAATCTTTAAAAAAAAAATAATAAGTTCATGCTGGATAGAAGAACACAGATGTCTATACTAATGCAGTTTTACTGTGTTACATTTTTTAAATTTACATTTTAAGGCAGTACCTTGAAAAGTAAGATGATCTTATAGAATGCTGGCAGTCCTGAGTCTTTACACTTTTCTTGTAGAAATAGTGCAAGTCTTGGAATTAGGAGACATGGTTCATGACAGCCTTCTATCTTTGGACTAACCATGTATATGCTGTAGGCTTTAGGTGATTTCTAAATTTGTTTGCATCTCTCAGTTCCTTGACTTTGATTGCTTGTCATGCCATTACTTAATAAGATTAAGTTTTCCTTCCCTCTTTCCTCATCAACAAAATCTGCCTTCTCTGTCTACGTCAGGGGGCAGTGTAAGTTAAACTTCATAGAAATTTGGTGGCTTTAAAGAAACTAATTGGAAAAATAAATGCCAAATTGGGATCTAGAACTACATAAATATTCTCTCATATCCATACTTCGCACTCTCATGCATACGTGATCCAAGTCCGTGCAACTGCCCAACTTCATTCTCCCATCCCTTTGTGATCTAGGAGTCAGGACAAAGACAGATGGGAACCTTAGTTCAGGTAGGTCTTTCATTCATTCACAAACATTTATTAGATGCATACCAGCTGCCAGATAAATACTGTGCCAAGTGCCAAGGACATGGGGATGAGTAAGACATGGTCCCTGTGCCCAGGGACATTACCATCTAGTTGGAAAGACACACGAGTTTCAGGTGCTGCCGAAGACTGCTGCTATGCTGGAGAAATGCACGTGGGTGTTCTAACTTTCCTGGGGATAGAAACTGCAGCTGGGCCAAAGAGTCTTTCCAGAGTTCTGAGCTCTGCTTTGCCAGATAGGTTCAAGCAGTTACGGTCATCAGTGGCATCTAGTTCTAGCAAGACAATTTGATTCTCTAAGAATCAGTCCACCTTCTCCAGCTGAACCTCACAGTCCTCGCCTGTTTACCCTTAGGTCACAGGCGTCGTTACTCAGAGCTTCAGAAATTAGTAGAAGCAGCTTTCAGCTTGAGTCCCAGGGGTGCCAAGGGCAGTCTGCCACATCAGGGAGTAACCATTTACTATCTGTCAGCCCTCCATGGTAATGATGGGTGTTGACGTCTCCACAGTGTCCCCTGACCCTCAGATGTCACCTCAGTTCTGTTACCCTGGGCCCATTCCTGCTTTCATGTGTTCACTTAACCCTCTGGGGTTGGATTTAACTGAGTCTTGGGTCTGAGAGACCTGTCCCAACAGTTCTCATACGCTGGAGAACTATAGGCCTGCAGCCTCTTATCCAAAGCCTGTGGGGCCAAGTGTGTTGTGGAATTCAGCATTTTTTGGACATTATAGTGCATTAGCCATATATAATACCCATGGGAGCATCTCAGTCAAATACAGCTATTACTGATTTGGCAAAATATGTGAATAATACCACTAAGGATAAATGATGGCTAAAAATAGCTTCAGGTCAGTCAGGCTTTATGCCCATGAAGTTTACCTATTGCCACCTGAAAACTTGGCTTTCAGGAGCTTTTGAATTTGGAATTGTAGATGAGGGATCATGGACCTGTATGTACCAAAAATGTCCCTAATGGCCAAGAGGTCAGCACACGAGGCTTTGTGCCTCAGTTAAGAGGAACTTAGGTTCACCAGACCAACTTGCTGCTCCTTGTTCATCCTTACTCTTAGGAAGCAAGCAGTCTGTGATACGAGCTTTTTTGAAATTGAGTGTCCCTTAAGGAGTAATTGTCTTGAGTAATCCCTAGGGAAGTATTACATATTTATCAAAATTCTAGCACTGATTCACCATCTTCTAAGTTTTCTATACTTCCCTCTAAAAATCTTAATTGAGAGTAACCAACCAGTTCCTCCCAGAAAAACCCCCAACAGCCTCTGTTAAGTTCTCAGAGCCTTCCCTGGATATTCGTAAGCTTGCAAAATGTCACCAGTGTTAACCCCTGAACCTAAGCCTGAGTTACCCAGATATCTGGAATGTTGGAAAATCTGCTTCAGAAACATCAGGGCCAGGGCATTCTCTAAGAACCTTGAATAGGTTGGTGCTGAGCCAGAGCCCAGAGGACAGTGTCCACAGTCCCACCCCAAGAAATTATCCCAGTCAGACTAATGTCTGCCTCTAGAAACATCAGAAAGATCAAGGTGTGCCTCAGAGGCCACTGAGGTGCCAGATCCTTCAACATGGGAAGAGCGAGCGGTTCAGCACCCCTTCTCCCCCCAAGGTGACCTCTCCCTAATACTCCTTCAATCATGCTATGTCTCAGAACAAAATGAAATGCCTTACCCGGGCCTGGGATGTCTACCATGGTCAGGGTTAGTTCAGTGAAGAAAAGACTCACACTGGAGAAAGGTGAGGCTGCCCCAGGTCTGATACCTGAGTGCAGGGAAGGAGAGGCCTTTCTGTTACAAATTCACCTCCTGGTCCTGGCCTTCCTCCACTGCTTTTCTCTTTTTTAATTTTCTTTTCTCTCATCCAGTCCATATCAGCTCAACACAAACAGTTCTAGTGCACACATAAGCTTTATTCTCACAGGAGGGAATTTTGGAGTAGAAATTCTGTGTTATTGAGGCATTTTTACAAGTTGGGTTTCATGTTGCTTGGTTCTTTTGGCACAGGTGTAGAGCATTAAATACTTCCTTTTCAGGGTTCTTGCTTTCTTTTTTTTTCCCCTACCATTTGCCTTTTTGTTCCTTATTTCCTGATCCCTTGAGTTACATGGCACCCCAGACTTCTTTATTTCCTTCCGCAACCCACGTTGGAAGGCCTCTTTCGGTGACCTTGCTGATTCCATGCTGCCACTTTTTCAAGAATCATATTTTTGGCCTTTTTTTCTCCAGCTCTTGGCACAGGCCACAGTACAGGCTGTCCCAGCTTTGAAGTCTGAATAAACCATGCTGTGGATGCCTCTCTCGTTTTCTCTTCCCTTTCACCTCATGGGGCCCTCTCTGAGCACCCTGCGGCACCCTGTGGGCGCGCCCCCTCCTCCCCAGCAGTCTCCCTCCCAATCCACCGGCGCCAGGCACTGTGTGCATAGTGGCCACTGACCTCTTTATTAGAGTTAGGACTTCCCAGTACACACCCACATGTGACAGCCCCTGATCTTACCCATCATCCACCTCTACCTGTGAAACCTACAGATGCACATTTATGTCTTTACATGGAAACATTTGGCACTTCTGTCTGGATTAGATCCACGTCAGATAGTGGAAAGGGATGATTTTCTAAATGCATCCAAAAGAGGCCAGCCTTAAGCTGTTAAAATAAATGCAGTGCCTACAACTAGATTTTTAAAGTATTGCCCAGGAGCGAGGACCACTGGGAACTTAAATATCAGATTAGTTTATATAAAATGAAATGCTTGAGGGCCCTTGAAAACTGTCCCTTTTTTTTTTTTTTTTTTGTGGATCAAGCTAGTCCTACTACAGCCTTATTTTTGCTGTTAGTTTGTTTAATAAGCCTCAACTCCTGTCCTCTTCAGTGGTTCTCCAATTTTAGCATGTGGCAGAGTCACCTGGAAGGCTTGTGAAAACAGCCTGCTGAACTCCTAGTCCAGCATTTTTTTTTTTTTTTTTTAGATTTTATTTATTTATTTGACAGAGAGAGCAAGCAAGGTGAGCACAAGCAAGGGTGAGCACAAGAAGAGGAAGAAGGAGGCTCCCTGCTGAGCAGGGAGCCCATGTGGGCCTTGATCCCAGGACCCGGAATCATGACCTGAGTCAAAGGCAAACGTTTAACTGACTGAGCCACCCAGGTGCTCCTAGTCCCGCGTTTCTGAACCAGTCTGGGCCATGCCCACGAATTTGCATTTCTGACAAGGCCCCAGCTGATTCTGATGGATCTTAAATGAGCTATCACAAGAGTAAATGTGATATAGTGTGTATAGAAAGGTTGCTGCTGCTATTACCACCAAATTTAAATTCACAGTAGCGGCAGTCATCCAGCCTCTGGCCTCATGCCCTAGCTCTGTCACTCCCGAGTGTATTACCCTGGGAGGTGGTGTGAGCTTGAAACTAACTTAAAATTACATGCACAACTCATGGAAGGGGGCTCACTGCAATGCCTGGCACACACTCGATGCTGAGTAACTATTACTGTTATTACTTGATACAAACTGCATTAAAAAGCAATAACATTTGGTTTAGAATATTGAATATCCATTCCAGGATTTTCAATACTTTAGTTTGTTTTTGTAGAACTAACTTAAAATGAAGTGAACTTCTTTCAACTCCTTGAAGTAGAAATGCATTGCTCTTTTAAATGCCAAATTTGGGGTTAAGGTTTCAGCTGCTCAGTGCCAAAACATCAAGCAATTCAGAAAAAAGGTAAGTCACACTGAAAGTCAGTTTCCACAAAGAGCGCTATATTCCACAAGTTCCAAGTCTCCATAGTCAGCATATGTATGGTCTGCATGGATAAGCCAGGTGAGAGGAGTAATCATATTCCTGCCTAGTGTGTTGGCTTGCATTAAAAGACAGGAAATCCGCAGAACACATCTGCTTCTCATGGGTATCTGTCCTCAGGA